AAATCGATTACCCAAAATCGTTCCTAACGCCCGTCTCCCCAACAATCGCAGCGCAATCAATCTCTAACCGTCCCGTCATAATTAATAGATCAGCTATCCTACTGTGTACTATACACAACTTAACTGTATCAGTTGGCTTTTCCGTGATTGTGAGTGTGCGACCGAAAATCCATAGCTCCGGTCTATTCAACACCATCCCACGCCAATCAATAAACCGCGCCGCGACTGCGCACATCTCTGTCACCACACTAGTCTGCACTCGCCAACATGAATTTCCGAGAAAAAATGCTGTGTGAAGCCGTACGTATGGAACTTCACCATTCAGTGATCAAAAATGTTTTATTGAAAATTTCGTGTACAACATACAAACTCTGAGCGAAGTCAGCCACCATTCCCTTTCACAGCAATATTTTTGGCATATTAACATCCACGAAACCATTGACGGTGAAGGTATCGAGGAGACTCGAAGTGATTTTTCTGTGGATTGAATGTCGAGTCTGTTTGCGGGAAATGATAGGGAAATTAGAAAGGTTCAACAATATCGACACTAACAGCATGACACTTGCATGGAATTTGTCTAAATAGTCCATCACAACCCTTTTTGAAGTAAATGCAACGGCGACGACCACGCCCATCATAGGAACAATCCTATCTCTGATTGGACGCCAGAAATCGATGAGGCAAGCGACGAATCACAGTACGCCCTGACCGTCTAGTCTATTCTTGACTTTGGTAATGGACCACAGAAACAAATTCTTCCAAAATACATTCATACAAACTTAAAACACTACATCGCGCATATTGCCAACTATTCGAGGTAAAACACGAAAAATTCTCACAAATGAGTTACATTAGCCGACCCGGTAACACAGTTAACAAGAGAAATATCGTAAAATATCATTCTTATACAAAAATCGTAAAGGCCACTAACAACCTATAGTCGGTATCACTTGTTGGCGCTTTACAATAGTATTTATGGAATACCTACTCCATTGACTCTTCTGTACCTGATGACTAGCCAACAGGTTTCAGGTATACCTGCACATGCAGGGTAACCCCAAATAATTTGAACCCCGACTTAACAACTAATAGAAGCAATTACGATTGAAACTTGATCGAGATCCACGTGTTTCATCGAGTAGGAGACAATTTGCTTTGCCTATTTCGACCGTGTCGTACTAGCACCGCCGCTTCGCGACCGCACGCTCAATTACCACGAATTTGGTACTTGGACTGTGGCAAGAGAAACTCACCACGAATCTCGATCACTGTTTCTTTCGCTTATGCAACCTTACAAAATAATTCACAACCCAAAAGTAAATCCCTATCCCAATATCATTTGTACTCTAAATATTTGGAATCATAAGAGAGTCACAACGTAACTAGTAGTGTACTGAACACGTGAACATTAGTAGTACTGAAGTAAGTCAGCTAATCATAAAATTATGAAAGAAAAATTGGTTTGGTTCTCAAATCATAATAGAGGTTGGAAAGAAGCTAAATTAGTTCAGAAGAAATTCATACTACTACTACCTATGATTACTTGGTTACTTTGTTACGTACAATATTACAAGGTGTTCCTGGTTGAGATGGAGGAGCGATTGAGCTGAATGAACTACGACACGACTCCAACGAGGCTACTGAACCCCTGAAAAGAGCTATACATTATCAATAAGGTCTATATCGAATTACACATTACTACTTCTCAGAAGAACATTCTACTTGTTAGCTGGAAGCTGACAGAAAGTAGAGTTGTTCTCATCACGTAAGCGATGTATTTCTTGGTTGATATCCCTGACTTTCATAGTTCGCGATTTGGCCCGCGAGCGGCGAGCGAGCGACGGGAGACTACTCGTCCGGCGGTACCGACCAAGCCGTCGGGCCAAATCGCGGACTCTACGACTAAATGAGGAACGAGAAGAAAACAAAGCAAGACTTCTAAGGAACTGAAGAAAACCAGGAGAAAAGGAGCAAAAATCCAGTAACCCGTTCCCTGAATTTCTACCCAACCCAGAAGGGTCTCCGGCTCCATTGACTTTTCAGAACATAAAACTCATTAGTGAAACAAGATTGAATATTCTTTACTGATCTAACTCAACCCTGACAGCTTCCCAAGCCGAAATTAAAACCAGGTACTGGTAACACAACATAACTATCTTTGAAGGAACCAGTAGCGCTTATGGTTTAGCTCATTTCATATACAGGGTACGCATTAAACATTGCAACAGAACTTTGGCGTCAGATTTTCCCATTTCTTCACTAGTTTCCTTCAATTTTCGTACCAATCTACTGGCTGCTTTCATAGTCCACGATTTGGACCGCGAGCGAACGAGCGATTGGGGCGGCGCTTACCCGTGGTATCGACCAAGATTGAGTTGTAAACAAGGGGCAAGCGCCGCCCCAATTGCTCGATCGCTCGCGGGCCAAACCGTGGACTATGAAAGCAGCCCCTCAATTTGAAGAAAATGGTAGATCTTCTGCTTCCCAAGAAATTAAGCCTGTCGTGATTGCGTGCAGCCTCAGGCTGCCTCGCTCAATGGCCATCCACAAAAGTTCCCGGTCTACCTTTCGAAGGCGGTTATTGAGTAAACTCCCCTCGTCGAAGCGGTGCCATCCACCGTATTCCGAAGAAAAATGCAGTTTTGAGTTGTTGCAATATTTAATCCGCACTCTAATCTCCCTCAAAGTCGCCCCTATTAACGACCCATCCAGGAAATATGGAGTGGCATATGGCTAATGGAGCTAACATTTTTCAACAGCTTTAAAAGAATTCCAGGCAAATTCGATAAGCTATTTACTTTGTTTTTGACAGCATTACTAAATGGGTTATGTAAAGTAACGAAGTAGTAAAACGCAATCAACTTACCTAAAGTCGGCCGAGTCCAATAGTTCATGATAATACATTAGTTTACATTTATGGCTACCGATACTAAAGTCGAAAGTTGTATTGTGTTGACCGGGGATCTGAACGTAAACATGTTTTGAACAGTAAATACATAAGACCAGGGCGAATAGTTCCAAAAACTCAAAGCAGTGGGTAGTCACCTCAGGAGTCCTCCACTGAAGGATGTAGGTTCCAGGCCGTGAGCAAAAGTGTGAGCCCTAAACGCATAACTACAGTCCATTAATGATGTACAAAGGTACTTCTACTCAAGTACCAATTAAAGTAACTTGTAGACTATGACCTCTGGTACAAACCTGCATGGAGTCTCCTTCTTGAAACACTACTGGTTTCTCTTCTATTGTGAGATCGACACCAAGAGTTAGGGAAGGATCGGACAAAATGACCGGCAAAGGATTATTGGCAATTGCTGCCGTTACCATTTCAACCGGATTCATCATCGTAGGGGAATGAGGAACAACCGCTTCTTGTATCACCTACAAAGTAAACTATCGTTAGTGATTGTTGACTCGGAAGAGAAAAATAAACAAAAATGTA